GTATGCAATTTTTGTAACAATTTTCTCCTTTCTTTTCAAAGATAAAATATACTAGAACAGTGTACCAAGCTTTTTTTACCTTTTTTTTGTCCTAGTAATATATATTTTTATGTGATTAATTATTATATTATTAATTAATATATTAATAAATTTACTAATATACATCATAAATATACAGAAATAAGTTGTGTATCGCTCACTTAGTTACAAAATTAGTTTAGTTTTGCTTTTAAAAAAAAGCTAAAAATTGTCAGTTTATCAAACAAATTTGCATCTACATCATCTGGATTAGCTTTTATCATGTTTTTTCTTTTAATTTTTCATTTTATAGTTCAAATCAAGAAGAAAATCAATAAGATCAGCCAGCTCTGCATAAACTTCAGGTTGTTTTTTCAAATTTCCCCTCATATTTTTCAAAATGATTCTTCAACATTTGTCTATTAAATGGTTGAAGTTTAAAAAAAATAATTATTTTAGCGTCAATTTTGTGCTCTGTAGAGATTGCAATATGATGTCAGTTCCGTAAAAAATTCTTTCCCAAAGAAGTTAACAGTAAAAACTTAAACTCTTTCACTTTATTCGCCAAATTATGTGCTTTAGCTCAAGATTCAGTGTCAAATGAATAATCCTTGCATATTCAATGTGTCCAAAATGTCATGATAATGATATTTTATTGTGGCAAATGACATTTTTTTTTCAACATCTTCGCTTCCAACATGGCTCCAACAAACCATTATTATAGTTGGAAGTTACTGGAAGAGAAAAAGATGAAGTTTACAGAGCAAGATAACGATGGACAGACAACTTAAAAGATTGCAAATTATATGGATCAGGAAAGCTAGATGAATGAAATGAATTCCAAAGAACTGATGTTCAAGGAAAAAACTAGATGAATAAGAGTTTTTTGTGCACTTAGGAACAGTAAAAGTAAAAGGATGAGACTTAATTAAATGACGAGTAACATGAGAATGAATTTTAGTAGGTGGCGCAAGAAACGTTAAGCTCTTTAGAGTAGTGCCCATTATAGTTTTGTAGAAAGGAGAAAGAGAAGCAACATTACCACGATGTGATAATGGTTGAAGGTTGGCTGCATGAGCAGGTCCAACTATGTTTACAATGCATTTTCGCACTTTATCTAAAAGAGAAGAGGCATCATTGGAAGATCCGCCCCAGATATGGCAACAGCATTCCATACAAGTAGTGACTTCACCAGTCATTCGTTTCAAAAACCGTTAACCAACTATTCAGTAAATTAGTGACGCTTTCTGAATACAGGATCTTCTAAATTTCAACGAACCTAGCGTTTTAAACTAATTTTTAAAAAATAATGTTAAACTGTACATTTTCAAAACAGTTAGTAAATATAGTCCTATATTATATATTTACAACAATACATGGAAAAAGATAAAATATATTTTATATAATAATATAATATACCTTTTTAATTATATAATTAAAAAAAAGTAGGAATAATGTACAAGTATTGTTTAATTATCGGAATTATCATTCATCTCGACATTGCTGCTGATTTGAATGTCATCATCATCATCTTTTTCATTATTATCAACCAAGTTTCCATGTAACTTTGAGTTTTCATACAGAAAAACCAGCATCTCTGCATGTTCTGGCGTTAATTGATTTCGTTTCTTTGTGATAACATTTCCGGCTGTTAAAAATATTCGCTCACTCTGACAGCTGGTTGCTGTGATGCAGAAAAGCTGTGCAGCCAAACTAGAAAGAAGGTTGAATCGAGAACTATGTAACTTCCACCACATTAGTGGATCTCTCGTGAGCGGTTCAGCATCTTCTGATATGTAATTCTGCATTTCCTGAATAAAAGTTGTTGGTAGTGAGCTCGCATTTGTTTTTGGCTTGTAAATACGCTAGAATAAACTTTTTTTTGCTTGTATGAAATCCATCAAAGATTTTGCCGTTGCAGCAGGGCCCATGACAGGTTGCTGCTGCAAGATGTCATGCAGTTCTTCTGCATACGTTATCACACTGGTTGTTTTTTTCGGTGGTCAGAAATGGTAGGCTTTTGAATTGAGGGTCCAAGAGAGCACCAATAATGCCTAAATTGCAAGGAAAATCATTGTTAGTACCGCAAACCAAACCAAACAATTGCTTTAATTCGCTTTGCAGTTTTTCTTTCAGCTGTACAGCAGCTCATGTGTCATTTTCATCATCTGGCTTAAGAAAATCTAGCAATCCGAAAAATGCTGGATAAATCGCTGAGTATGAAACATACCCCTGACCACTCCAGCGAGTAACCTGGTCAGCAAAAGGTTTCAAAATTTCCACCACTGTTTGTGCAACGCCCCAATGGTCATCGTTGGGGACAGCACACTTTGATCTAGCCATTTTTTTCTTCACTTGAGGATCCTGTAGAAAAGATATTCATAAAAATAAAAGCGCACAAGCATGCATTTGCAATCAATAATCAATCAATTATATATAGATATAGTAAATTATAACAATTTATCTTACCTGCATTGCGGCAATGATGTTCTGTTGTAGCCTCACCATTCTTTCTGCCATGTGGATCTTGCTGCTCCACCTGGTTTCACAGTCCATGACAGGGCAAATAGGCTTTGGAAGTCTAGATACTGTAGTACCACGGTTTTTAGAATTCCTCTTGATTTCGTCTTTCTGAATTTGTTTGAGGACATTCCAAGATGGATTCGAACTTCTGAGGAACTGTGCCACTCTTCTGATGGCTGCCAGCACACTTCTAATTGTCTGGATAGCATTAATGCTGTCATTAATGGCCAATTAGCTTGTATGCCTGACACACAGTAACATATGCTGCACACGTTTGCTTGAAGTTAGTGCCAGCACAATATTTGCAGCATTGTCTGACACCACTGTGAAGGCTTCCAAAATTTGCCAAGCATCCATTGCAGCCTCCAAACTTGTCTGTAGGTTGACGCTCGTGTGATACTCCAGGGAGTGAATCAAATTGATAACATAACTGACAAGGCTCCAGTTCTTGTCAATCATATATATATATATATATATATATATATATATATATATATATATATATATATATATATATATATATATATATATATATATATATATATATATATATATATATATATATATATATATATATATATATATATATATATATATATATATATGTATATGTATATGTATATGTATATATATATTATTCATAACCACAGTTGTTGTTTTAAAATACTTATTTATTAAGGTATTCCTAGCACTTGTTGACGAACTTGCACCAGCAAGTTCTTCCAGCAACAACTAGATTAGAAGGATGACACAATTTTAGGTGATTCTGCATTGCAGATGTACTTCCTCCTTTGCACGATATTGTCTCACCACACACATTGCACACAGAAAAATTATTGTCAACTTTTTTAAAAAAACTTCCACACAATATTTTTTTTAAGACTATACATTATGCTCTAAACAAAACAGATAATTTATCATATAGAAAAATTAAAATGATTCATGCAATTAAATTAAAAAAGTTAAGTTCATAACATAAGTTACATAACTAAAAGCCCTGCAAATTTTTTTATCAAAATGTTTTAATATCAGCGGATGTTTTAAAAGCATTCTCTCATATAAAAACATTTGATTTGGATAGATATTATAAAGTTAATTTTTTTAGCGTGTATTTTAAAAACTTATTGTTATGCGGACATAGATGGAAACATGGTTAAACTTGAATGTTCTCAAAACATCTTGTTGCGGAAAGATAATATAAAATTTATTTGCTAACACTAAAATACCGCCAAATCTACGAATAAACAATTTCTGTTGGTTCAAAAAATAAGCTGAATAAGTGAATTAAAGTTCCAGAATAATGCGAAAAAACTTTCTTAAAAATGTATTGTTTGAGTTGCAAAAGTAATAAATAAATCTTTGAGATTTCTATTGTAAATTGTTTTAAGAATATATTATTAAGCAAAGCTGATTAAATTAGCATTTAAATTAATAAAAGAAATTTATTTAATCTTTAATACATTAACATTTGTCAAACAATAATTGTCATAAGTAAGTTGTTACTTTCTATAAAATTTCGTAAAATTATTGTCCGTTTTTATTATTGGAAAATAGATATTTGATATTCGAACAAAATCCGGTTAACTGCAAAACCTGATAACAGGCAAAATCACTACATACAAGGACAAATTTGAGATTTAAAAAGATAGAGAATAGAATCGGGAGTGAGAAAGTGGCGAGCACGCTAAACAGATGCAACCTTAGCAGATGCTAATTTTGCAATGGATTTGATATATGAATTCCAAGAAAGATCAGAAGCAAGAGTTAAACCTAGAAGATGAAGGGTAGATGACTTGTTGAGTACAATACCGTTCATATTTAACCCTCTAGTTCCCAAAACCACCTCAAGGCGGGTATTATAAAAATCCATGTAAAAATTACATCGCTAGAAATTTTAGCGTAATGCTCATGTCCGCCTATAGACAATAGCATACGAACCAAGTTACGTGCGCCGGCGCACCCGCAAAGCACGTGGTTTTGTTTGTATAATCCATGCAGTGTTATTTCGCAGCGATTACTACGATTAGTTCTGTGTCAGTGATTGGAAAATTGTTAAAAAATATTTTTAGTGCCCCCAATTGAATAAAAATATTATTGGTAAGTTTGTACTTTATTTGGCATTGCAACAAAATATATTTGAATGAATAATTCTCATACAAATATTATACTTGCCCTATTCATGATACCCGTCTCCAGGCGGACTTGGGCAGCAAGTTATATTTTTTTGATATAACTTGTAATTGAGAAACATTTTTTATACATTGCTAAATATTTCATTTCAGAGATAGAACGACATAAATTTTACGATCCCGAGTTGATGTCACAGGACGATGTTTTTAATTTACTAGATTCAATAGATGCAGGTGAATTAGATACTGATATTGAAGATAGTTTCCTTTCGGATGATGACCCCGATTTTGTTCCTAACGCTCATCATTTCAATATGGAAAATATCTTAG